TTCTTATTTCATATTCATTATGTTTACCAAATTTGAACCATAAACTCTTAAACTATGATGTAATGTTTATGTAGCTTCAGTTCCTCTTTTTGAAGACCAATTTTCTATTTTTCAATTTAGTCATCAATTTTGTATGTATGATTTCTTTATTTCTTAAATTACTCATCCGTTTTAAGTTCATTTTAACTAAATTTAAATAACATGCTCCATTAACACTATAAAATATACATGTAATTTTCAGTTAGTTTTTATATATAATATAAATAAAATAAAAACATTTTAATAATGTTCAATTGAATAATTTTCAATTTAATTTGTGATACCAACTTAATTAATTATTTTATACTCCTATATAATATACAGAAAACAAATCATAATTTTATATCTTTGTTAGTGTTACCAACATGTTGCTTATAATTTGTTGGCATAGTGAGTAGTGAATACCCATTCGTAAATGTGGACTTCGATTATATTTTGTCCAACAAAAATAAAAAGAATACATTAATGAAGCTCTTTGGGCCTATGTACCATGGATATTTTCGCAGAGGCTTAATTTTGTGGAAATCCACATTGATTCGACTTGGCAAAGGATTCATGAAACAAAGTTACCATGAAATTAACATATATAGGTTTAATTTCGACTTCATTTTCCTATATTAAAATTTAAGATTTAATATCTGTTTTAATCATGGTTTTTATAACCGGACCGGTTAGCGAACCAGTCATGCTACCGATTCATTGATTCAACCGGTCGAACCGGTCTGACCGGTCGGAAGAACCGGACGACGTCATAATTATTTAAAAATTTAAATAAAAATATCAAAAATATTTAATAAAAAATAATTTTTTATATCACAAGTCATATTCAAAGCAAGTCATAACATATATAAGTTAAAAACCATAAAATCAAGTTAAACAAAATGATTCAAATTAACTACAATATAATATTTAAGGTAAAACATATTAATAATAAATATATTATATAACTATAATTAAAAAATAAATTTGGGGTTAAAAAAATCATAACAAATGATATTGTTTGGTTTAATTTTTTTTAAAAATAATCCCACGTGGCTAAGAAACATAGAAGAGTATCCCAAAAGTCTAAAGAGTAAAATATGAGAACAAAACAATCTCACATTGCTAAGAAACATAGAAGCGCATCACAACTAACTTCTATAAATAATAGAGGTAATTTGGCATTCAAAATCATGGAGCCTTTTGGTGAGCATTGAGTGAACTATTCTTTCACTTCAATCAAGCTCGATTTTTTTTAGTTCAAGCCTTTTTGAGTTCAAGTTTCAATATTATATTTCGAGTTTGAGTTGAACTTGATAATTTTTAGCTTGTGAGTTTGAGTTGAGCTTTCTTTTAAAGTTTTCAAGTTCGAGTCGAGCTCAACAATACTCGAGTTCGACTTGGCTCGTTTAACAAACGACGTTGTTTGGTTTAAATTTTTTTTTAAAAAAAAAACAAAAATCTCGGTTTTTCTCGGTTTTTTTCCGGTTTTCAGTCGGTCCGGTTCGAACGGTTCAGCGGTTCTGGCCGGTTCACTAATAACAGTTCAACCGGTTTAGATTGAACCGAACTAAGTAACGGTTCACGGTTGAACTGGCCGGTCCGGTCCGGTTTTCAAAACAGAGGTTTTAATTTATTATAGACTAGTTTTTTTTATATATAATATCATCAGTAGATGTATTTTGTGATGGTGAAAACTACCATTTTTTCACACATTTAAGAAGATGAATCCATGAAATTTGGAATATATTATTCTAAGTATTTTTATTAAAATACTCGGTTCAAGGCTTCAAGAAAGCAGAAACTGAGACCTATATGTATTTGCATAAACAGAAAGGCGAAGCAGTTGGATTCAACGTTTTGCAGAAGCCTCCCAAAGGGAAGCCATTGGAGAGGCAGTACTTGTTGCAATCTTTGAATTGTGAACATGTCCCCATAACTGCTTCCCACAACTTTGCACTCGTCGTCTCTGACAACCCAAATATTAATCAAAAGAGAAAGAAAATTGATTATATCATTCATTTAGAACTTGATAGAATGGGTAAGGAAATATTTACCAATGTTGAAGAAGAAGATGGCCAGGCATACAATACCCAGAAAGCAGCATTTTAGTGTAAGAGAACCCATCGTATTACCTCTGCCAAAACTTTTTTTATCTCTAAAAGTATGTTCAATTTTGGATTGGATTGGATTGGATTGGATTGGATTGGCAGTGCCTATTTACCATCTCCATGCCTCCTTATATAACATCATTTCTAGTATCTTTTTTCAAAGAAAAGAAGCAAAAGGAAGGTAAATCTATTATTAATTCCCAAATCTCAATCCATATGGAATTATTAACTCACATTATGATAATATTATATGTTTGTGCGCTCACCTAGTTTCATTTTGATAATCATCATCCATTGAGTAAAAAATGAGGGTAAACTACACATTTAATACCTAAACTATCAGTTTTAGTACCTAAACTTTTTATTTTTTCAAAATCATACCTAATGTTTAGTTTTTGTTTCATTTTAGTATCCGTCGTTAAAAACTTAACACATTTAGTACTTAAACTATCCGTTTTGATTCATTTTAGTACCTAAACTTCCAAAAAAATTCAAAATTTAACGTTAACTTTTGACCATAGGTACTAAAATGAAACAAAAACTAAGCTTTAGGTATGGTTTTGAAAAAAATGAAAGTTTAGGCACTAAAACGGATTAAAACTAATAGTTCAGGTACTAACTGCATAATTTACATGCATCATACATCCTCAAACTATGATTCTTAATTTTAATTGATCCCTAAACTTTTAAACACTTTAATTCCATCCTCAAACTATGACTCTCATTCTATATTGGCCCCTAAAATTTTGAGAATTCCAAATTCATCCCGAACATATGACGCTCATTCTATATTGGTCCCCAAACTTTTTTAATATTCCAATTTCATACCCAAAAGTTTTGAATGATTTTGAGGAATATTATTGGAACGTTCAAAAGTTTGGGGATCAATTTAGAATGGGAGTCGTAATTTGGGGATGAAATTGAAATGTCCAAAAGTTTACAGATCAATTTAGAATGAGGATCATAGTTTGAGGATGTATCTTGCAATTATCTCTTTGCTAAATAACATGTAATTATTAAATGAAACATTCAAATGTGAACTTTATTTAAGTGAAATGACATTTTTGTACTTGCTTTAGAGGGAACTTTAATTGAAATCATGTAAAGGAAAAGAAATTGTCAATTTTATGAAACTTTATCTTAAAGTAAACAAGTTTGAATAATTAAAACTAACAAGGTGGTCTAAAGATGGAAGAATTTCGATAAAGGGTTGGAGTTTTCTTTATTTTATTTTGGATTAATAATGCTGTCTTGCAATGATATCCATTGTAGTGGTTTACCATTTTGTTGGGTTTCAATGATATCCATTGAAATTTGAATCCGCCGTTGCTTTTTGACAATATTGGTTCGTTCATAATTCTTTATTAAAGGATAAATTATATCATTAATTATTGATTTGTTAATAAAACCTACATAGATATCATCCAAGTGACCATCTCAGCATTCAAGTCTTAAATGGAGTACTTTTTAGAAAAAAGAGAAAAAAGGGAAAGCAAATACATTTTTAATTATCAAATTCCAATCCACATGTAATTATTCTTAAAACTAGCTACTTGTATTGTTTTTGCTAAGTAACATGTAATTATATTTATAAGAGTAATTGTACCATGTGTCCTCAAAGTATGACTCTCATTTTAAATTGATCCATAAACTTTTAAATATTCCAATTTCATCCCCAAAATTGACCTTCATCCTAAATTGGTCCTCCAACTGTTTGAAAATTTTGATTTCATCCCAAGCTATAACATATACTAGTCATATATTTTTGTTAATAAAATCGTTAGGCCAATTTATATTATTATATGTTTGAAAAAATACAAATTTTAAGTTAATTATGTTGAAACTAATTACAGACATGGATAAACTTGGGGATCAATCTAAAAAGAGGGTCATAGTTTAAGGATGAACTTATAATGTTCAAAAGTTTAAGGACTAATTTAGAATGAGAGTCATAGTTTATGGATGAAATTGGAATATTCAAAAGTTTAATGACGAAATTAAAATAAAGGTTATAGTTTGAGTACTTATGATGCAATTAACTCTACTTATAAATAAAATATTCAAATATTAACTTTATTTAACTAAAATGACATCTTTATAATTTCTTTAGATGAAACTTCAATTGAAATAATATAAAAAGAGAAGAATTTAAACAAATTTTGAAATAATTATTTATTAATATGAGAGGTATTATACGAATTCAGTAACAAATTTGACAGCATAATATCTCCATTTTATTTATCAATTAAGAAAATAATCAATTTAATAAATATTGTTCTAAGATCCCATAAAAGAGCTGGATTTAAGTCTTTTGTTAATCCTTCTCTCTTATCTAAATTTACAATGATCGATAAAATTAATAAATTATTAATTGTAGGTATTACTAGCTGATGTTCATGAATAATATGACGAATCTAGTAAGAAATCGATTAATTATTTAATTTGTGAGTTTAAATTTAATTTACATTGAATCAAAAAAAAATTACATAGACTCGATTATGGGTGAGAAAAATTTGATTCGCCTCAAAAATTTGATTTTTTACTAGACTCAATTCAAAAACTCAACTCGAATATACTTCGAGTTGTAATTTCATAAACCCGATTCTACTCAAAAAAATTTCAAATTCATATCTAGTTGTAAAATACAACTCAATTAGTAACTGAATAACTCGAAGTTTCTAGTAGTTAATAGATTGATTTTTAAGTTTGAGTCGAACTCCTTAACTTTATATGATATATGTATATCACATATGGAAAAAAATATTACTCGATTAAACTGTAGACACCCGTTTTTGATCGGAACTAAAAATATTAAAATATTAATTATTATTATTATTATATTAAATTATTAATATAATTGTTTTTTTACAGATTACAAGACCCGACCTAATAAAACAAGCTACCAGCGCCGCACGCCATTCTCGCCACCAAATCTGCACCCAACAGCAAAACATAATCAATCATCCACCAAAATATTGCAAGAGTCAAAAAAACAAATCCCATCATCATTTTACCAAATAAAGCATGAAGAAAAAAGGAAAGAAAGACAAAGGAATTAGGCGAAGAAAATTGTAACATGGGAGGTTTCTGCTACCTAGAAAAGGGGTGTTTCGTGTAGAGAAAAAGGAGGCAATTGACAGAGAAGGGCCAGCAACCATTCGAACAGGGGGGCTCTCGGCCAGCAAAAAAAAACCAGAAATTAACTAAAAAAAGCACTCATCACCAAAGGGAGATCACAAACGGAAATAGAGGGAAAGAAAAGCAGTGTTCATCAGTAACCATTTGAACAACAGGGGCTATCTTACTGGGAATTTACAGAGAACAGAGAGACAGAAAAAGGGGGCTTTCCCCTTCGTTCTTGTAAGCAAAATTCCAAAAGAAATAAAATATAAGCTATCTCTTTTTCCTGGTTCATTCATTTTTCAGTAACACAATCAACAAAGCAACAGGTATTTATTTTTATTTATTATTTAAAAAAAAACATTTTGCATCCATTCGAATTAAATGGAGAAAAGGGGGTAGTCGTCTACCTTATTTGTGATAAGCCATCACCGGGGTTGTCATCGTCGGGAGGTAGTAGTCTTCGTCGGAGTTGGTAAGTCGAGCGATCGATGTCTGTTTATGGGTAAAAACTCTCTCGGTTAGTATTTGGTTTTTGGGGTTTAGATAAGATAGATAGGGAAGTGTTTACCTTAGAAATGAATCCTGTCGTCTTAGCTTGCCGGAAATAGAGGTAGACGAAGGGTCGAGGGTCATTCACATTGGTTTCAGTCAGTTTTGGGCTCTCAATTGAAGGGGATAGAGGCATATTTAGGTTGTTTAAACCTTTGGGTTGTGCTCACCGTTCGTTCTAGTACTGGCCGAGTGGTTTGGCGTCACCATAGGAGCGGTGGCCGGCGATGTTTGACTGTAGAATGGTGAGAGCGGTGCTGCATAGAGAGAAGTGGAGAAGAGGTTAGAACCATTGTTGATGGTTGGTCGAAGGGATGAGCTATCATCAAGACAAGGTTGTTAGGGGGTATGAAGTAACGGTGGCCCTGGTTTTGGCCCCTGGTTCTGTCCAAAGGATGAAGGCAATGGGGGTTAGGTTTAGCATGAATGTTTTTTAGGTTAAAATCTTAATTTAAGGTTTTTAGATAGTTTAGATGAAACGACATAGTTTAAATGGGTACAGGGTATTTCATTTTTGATTTTTTTTATGCGAATTGCAGGTTAGTTACCATTTTTAATTGTTTTATGGTTTCATTGTGATTCCACTTGGGGATCAATCTAAAAAGAGGGCTATAGTTTAAGGATGAAATTATAATGTTCAAAAGTTTAAGAATTAATTTAGAATGAGAGTCATAGTTTATGGATGAAATTGGAATATTCAAAAGTTTAATGACGAAATTAAAATAAAGGTTATAGTTTGAGTATTTATGATGCAATTAACTCTACTTATAAATAAAATATTCAAATATTAACTTTATTTAACTAAAATGACATCTTTATAATTTCTTTAGATGAAACTTCAATTGAAATAGTATAAAAAGCGAAGAATTTAAACAAATTTTGAAATAATTATTTATTAATATGAGAGGTATTATACGAATTCAGTAACAAATTTGACAGCATAATATCTCCATTTTGTTTATCAATTAAGAAAATAATCAATTTAATAAATATTGTTCTAAGATCCCATAAAAGAACTGGATTTAATTCTTTTGTTAATCCTTCTCTCTTATCTAAATTTACAATGATCGACAAAATTAATAAATTATTAATTGTAGGTATTACTAGCTGATGTTCATGAATAATATGACGAATCTAGTAAGAAATCGATTAATTATTTAATTTGTGAGTTTAAATTTAATTTACATTGAATCGAAAAAAAAATTATGTGGTCTCAATTAGGGGTGAGAAAAATTTGATTCGCCTCAAAAATTTGATTTTTTACTAGACTCAATTCAAAAAACTCGACTCGAATATACTTCGAGTTGTAATTTCATAAATCTGATTAGACTCGAAAAAAATTTCAAATTCATATTGAGTTGTAAAATACAACTCAAATAGTAACTTGAATAACTCGAATATATATATATTACTCGATTAAACAAATATGGAGAGAAATATATATAGTTTATTGATAATTTTTTTCGCTCGGCAAAATTATCGATAATCAAGTATTTTATTAATTATTACAGCAACAGGTCCGACGCACACACCTTGATCGAACCCACTGTGAATACAAGCTAAAATACAGTCGTTGCCAAATGTGGAACACGGTCCCAGGCAAAATGGTGTTCTCTGAGCACCCACTCCCACTCCCACTCCCACTGGCCCTGCTCCTGTTCATACAAATCATATATATTACACAAACAATATTTCATTGTTATTTGTAAATCTGATAAGAACTCATATGAGATCATATAATAGAGATAAATAAATGTTTACCTGGATTCCATAACAAAGTCAAGCACATTATTCCCAAAACTTGCTCAACTATAACACATGCAACTTTTCCACCTGTCATTCTCTTTCCTTGTGGGCTTCAATTCTGTATTTTATTTTTATTTGTTCATAAATACAGAAATGTGTCTTACCTGTATAGTATAAATTGAGGTTTCCACTAATCAAAGGGAGAAAGAATCCAACTTAAATTAATTCTCCAGATTTTCTGTTCCAAACCATTCCATATATGCTTCTCCACGTATCTATCTAGTTTCTTCATTGGATTTATATTATGTTTATCAATTATTTTCTTTTTAAATGATAATAAATACTATTATAAGAGTTATTTCTCCTGAAAATTCCTTCTTCATCAAGGTATCAGCTGACCACCAGGTGATTTGGCATCCAAGGATTGGCCATGATGACTAGATAAGAATATCCAACTGAATGATGTACTGTGGCAATGGCTGGAGGGTACCTGCTCGTTCTCATCGGAAAAACCAGGGCCACACTGGAATGTTGATAGAACTTTGGGGTTAAAGCATAATTTGTAAAACCAAAAACCAAAAACATTTATCAGAATTAATCTATAGTTCTAATTATAAGATTTAAAATAAAATCAATATAAAACCATTGTGTTTAGAGTTCTGAGTTATGAAGCTGTGTCAATGTCAGATGTCATGCGAAGAGATCGTAGTTTTCCAAAAAAAAAAAAAGTTAAATATTTAATACTCTTTCTTTGAACATGTTGTTCCGGTATTTAGACTCCAAAGTATTCTCCTAAGACATTCGTCCTAAATTTAGACTTCGAAAAAACTTTTCAGAAACTATGAAGCGCGTAATTAAATAATATGTTGAGATCCTTTGATGGAGCTACAACAGACTTCGGAACCTTTTTACAATGATAATTCAACATTACGTAACGACTTGTTTTGAACGTTCCTAGCGGTGCTGCCGGTCTCAATGACCAAAAGAACTTCCTCAAATACAGTGGTGTTGGCTGCTACTCCGGCATTGGACCGAATGGCATGCCAATTGGTGGTGTTGGGACTTGGGAGTGCTGGTGGCATCACTGGCCTTGACGGTACAGGTCAGCTTGGCGGCTTAGCAGATATGGATTTGGAGGTGGTGCCGGAGTTGGAGGTGCCGGTGCTGGCATTCCAAGAGCACCTGGTGTCATCCATTTTCCTTGAACTTTGCTAGTGCTTTAAATTTCAAAGCTGCTAGTTTAACTTGTGTTATAGTAACATTATAGTTGCTCTTGAATGTGTGGCACGGTTAAGGTTGTAGTAATGTTTGTTAAGTGCTGAGATATTGTGGTGATTTTGTCCTTTTATTTTTCCTATGTAATGTCACCTGTTTATACTTTGTAGTCCCTGGTTGGAATTTTTTAGTCACTTTAGTTTATATATATATATATATATATATATATATATATATATATATAAAACATGAAGTAATTATAAGATATTATATGTTTATAATTTTTTTAGATATTAACAAACGTGCACACATATGTTGAAAAGTTAAGACAAGTGGCCAAAATTGGTGGCTTAATTTTCCACCGAAAGGTGATTTGAAAATTAGAAATAATAATTCACCTAAAATGTTGAAAAAAAATGGAATGGAAAAATTAATTTTAGTCATTAGACTTTAGGGTATTTACAAGATTAGTCCTTAAGTTTTAACTATAAATATCCTAGCTCATTTAGCTTCAAAACCATCCCAAAACATTCTAGCTTTCTTCCAATACTAGAGAGATTTTAGAGAGTTTCTTGAGAGTTGTTTTCTCCTTTTTATCTAGAGAGAATTATCATTGTTTTCTCCTTGGTAGATTGAGAGAGGTTGTAATTCCTATTTTCTCATAGTGAAATTCTTCTACCGTTGCATGTGGTTTTTACCCTAAATTTTTAGGGGTTTTCCACGTAAATTTTGTGTCTTTTATCTTCATTTTTATTTTCTCAAATTATCAATTGCAATTTTCCTCTCAACCTTGAGGTCGTGGGATCGAGTCCCACGGAGGGCATTTCATAATTCGAAGGTCTCTTACGGAAGCTGCTCTCAACCTGGTGTTGGGGGTAGCCTACTATCTTACCTCCCCCTTACCCCATATATATGGGAAAAAAGGACAGCCATATATGATTTTTCTCTATCCGATAGCCGTCTTACGCAACAATTGGTATCAGAGCTAGATTAGAATGTGTAATATCTGCTTATTGTCTTTGTGGTTGCCACCAAAAGGTGGATCCTCCAATAAGAAAGTAAGAAGTTATTACCCATTCTTTGAAGGTTCCAGAGAACTATTCACGACAGTGAAATAGTGGGAGCTATCCGTAAACGAAGCAATGGCAACAAAATTTGATATTGAAAAGTTCAATGGGAGAAATTTCTCATTGTGGAAATTGAAGATGAAGGTCATCCTGAGGAAAGACGGTTGTCTAGCAGCTATCAGTGAAAGGCCAGTAGATTTCACAGACGACAACAAATGGATCGAAATGGACGGAAATGCTATGACAAACTTTCATCTAGCATTAGCAGATGAAGTATTGTCAAGTATCGAGGAGAATAAGACAGCTAAGGAGATATGGGATCATCTCATCAAACTGTACGAGGCCACATCGTTGCACAATAAAATTTTCCTTAAGAGAAAATTGTACACTCTCCGTATGCCAGAATCTACTTCAGTGACAGAGCACTTAAATACACTGAACACTTTATTTTCTCAGCTTACATCCTTAAGCTGTAAAATAGGAGAACAAGAACGTGCTGAACTTCTACTTCAAAGTCTACCTGATTCGTATGATCAACTCATCATCAACTTGACAAACAGTAATGTCACCAGTCTAGTCTTCGATGACGTTGCAGTTGTTGTTCTACAAGAAGAAAATCGGCGCAAGAACAAGGAAGACAGACAAGTAAATCTGCAACAAGCAGAAGCGTTGACAACAATGAGAGGGAGATCAACAGAACGTGGCCAAAGCAGCAGTCACAAACATGGTAGATCGAAGTCGAGGAGCAAGAAGAATTTAAAGTGTTACAACTGTGGAAAGAAGGGTCATCTGAAGAAAGATTGTTGGAGTCTAAATAAAAACTCCAATCCACAAGGCAATACCGCAAACACTTCAGATGATGGAGATGCTCTATGCTGTGAAGCGTCAACCACTGTGGAAGGAAGAAAACGATTTGCAGATATATGGCTCATTGATTCGGGAGCAACATATCACATGACCTCAAGAAGAGAATGGTTCCATCATTATGAACCTGTCTCAGGAGGATCTGTTTATAGTTGCAATGATCATGCCTTAGAGATCGTTGGCGTGGGAACCATCAAATTGAAGATGTATGACGGAACAATTAAAGTTGTTCGAGATGTGCGGCACGTGAAAGGCCTGAAGAAAAATTTATTATCCTACGGATTGTTGGATAATAATGCAAGCAAGATTGAAACACGAAAAGGAATCATGAAAGTGTTCCGTGGAGCGCTTGTGGTACTGAAAGGCAAAAAAATAGAAGCAAACTTGTACATGCTGAAGGGAGAGACTTTGCTAGAAACAGAAGCCTCTGTTGCCTCATGTAGTTCAGATTCTGCAATGTTATGGCATCAGAAACTTGGACACATGTCAGAACAAAGAATGAAAGTCCTTATGGAGCAAAAAC